GCCTCGATCTCCAAATCGAAGCCGACCTGACGTGCAATTGGAAAAAGATGGACAATTCGGTAAATCTCGGGTTAATTGCTGCACTGAAATGTACAAGACTGCCACCAGGGAGCTCCAGCACGGCGGGGTCCACTGGAGAAGTGAGCCGCGACAGGGGAATGAGGCTCTGACTTAAAAGTTGGTGTAACTCTACGTTCAAGCCGTGTTCATCATGTCGAATCTTTTCTGTCGCTTCAGGGCCCTAGATCGGCAGGGCACCAATGAAAGAACTCGCTCTTCTGGTGGCTTTAGCCGCTGAAACGTGCTGGAACGCAATAAGAGCTCTCCACTCCCAGTCCGGCAGCGGGGACCATCTGCAGGTAGTTTAGCGTTTAGGTCCCCCAATTGCGCACGCAGCGGGGACCAGCTACCCCCCCCCCCGGTCAGTGGCTATCTCTACGGTATAAGTGTCCCTTCCCGTCCCTCCTCTCCAACCTTTCCCTTTTCTCTGCTTCTGCCTCTGTATTCTTTGATCATCGGAGAAACAACCATCATGTTCAATCTTCGTCGCCTTTTCGTGTCGGCCCTGGTCCTAGGGCTCGGCCTCCTCTTCCTCGCCCAGACAGCTGAGGCTGCCAAGGGCCCTAAGATCACCCACAAGGTCTTCTTCGACATTGAGCAGGGTGACCAGAAGCTCGGCCGTGTCGTTATGGGCCTCTACGGCAAGACTGTCCCCGAGACAGCTGAGAACTTCCGCGCTCTGGCTACTGGCGAGAAGGGCTTTGGTTATGAAGGTTCTGCTTTCCACCGTGTTATCAAGAACTTTATGATCCAGGGCGGTGACTTCACCAAGGGTGACGGCACCGGTGGCAAGTCCAGTATGTTGCGATAACTTCGTCTCGGTGCAATCCGTCAATTGCTAACATTTACCTTCAGTCTACGGTGACCGCTTCAAGGATGAGAACTTCAAGCTCAAGCACACCAAGAAGGGTCTCCTCTCCATGGCCAACGCCGGTCGCGATACCAACGGCTCCCAGTTCTTCATCACCACCGTTGTCACCTCGTAAGCGCAACTCCATCTCCAACGAACCAATTACAACCGCAATACTAACAACCATCTCCAGGTGGCTCGATGGCAAGCACGTCGTCTTCGGTGAGGTCCTCGAGGGCTACGACATCATCGAGAAGATCGAGAACACCAAGACTGGCGGTGCCGACCGACCCGTCGAGGCGGTCAAGATCGCCAAGAGCGGCGAGCTTGATGTCCCCCCTGAAGGTATTCACGTTGAGCTCTAAGAGGCAACACTCTTGTTTTGCACCAGTCCGTTGCCTCGCCCTTATTGATAATCCTAAAAGGCCGGATTTGCTGATGCGTAGCCTTGGCCTCAATTAGACCTTTACGGCACATCTGAATTCGCCGCGGAGGAGGTTTCCGCTGGTTGGTCTCCTCTCCAGAAGGCTGGCCTCTTTGCCGTTGTTGCTGGTCTTGTCTTTGTTGGACTTCGCCACGCCCGTCAGCGCTCTCGATTCTAGGCGACTCGAGACTCAGTATTCAATAAGAGACAATACAACACAGACCATATCAAGACCATATCTGTGTATCGATCTTCACCAACTACTACTACTGCTACTACTAGTAGTAGTCCCTATCAATCGTAGAATTATAGCCAAAATTTATGGTGAATTGGCGTTTTATTCCGTCTTGTCAGTACTGTAGCACGTAGCTCTACTAAGTAGAACATCCCTGTCACGTGGGGCTCACTCAGTTCACCACCAAGTCCTCCCCCGCCATAGAAGAAAAAAAAGTTGTGTAAGTACCAGACAACATCAATTTGACGATTCTCGATCTCTTATACGACTGCTCAACACGGCTTCTGCTCATATTTCTCCGAAATCAAGATGAAGGTTCTCAGCCTCAACTTTCTTACTTGCGCCGTCAAGGCCTGCAAGTCCTCTAAAGACTCATACCCTCTTCACCCAAAGGACGCTGAACTCGTCCAAGACGATATCGAGTTGAACCCTGACATGATCCTCAATGTACTGCCCCGACTTGACTGGACGGCTCTTTGCACAACGGCCTCTGAGGTGAGTTAGCGAGAACAAGACGAGCGATCATGAAACTCGCCCTGTGTTGTTGAAACAAGTTTCTGACAATTTCATGTTACAGTTGGGTTTCCCTCAGCTCCCTGAACAGCCTCCCACAGCAGTTGAGCTTCGGGCTGATGAGAAGACCCTCAAGGATCTTCACCATCTTCTTCTCGAGACTCAAATGTCTGAGGGCAAACTCGTTTGTGGCAACTGTGGGCACGAGTACGCTGTCAAGGAGGGTATTGCCAACTTTTTGCTGCCCAGCCACTTGGTGTAAAGATAACAATACGAGCCAAGATTAGTTACGTTTTTTGCAAAATTCCATCGGAGATGCATCACCACTAGAGAGATCGAATGTTATGACTTGAGGTATCATAACGGAGTTTGGCGTTGAATTATTTGATGGCTTCGAATCGCATCTGCAAAAAGTAATCAATAAATTTGGGTCAAGACCCTTTATCTGGATCCCCGACCCTACGTCCTGTCTACAGTTGATGCTCGCAACATTACATGCCGATACTAATCCTCCCATCAAGTCGCACCAAAGGGACCCAAACTCCGTAATCTGATATACAAGTATCATTCCACATGGACGACCGATACATGAACAGCGCTCGTTTATTCAGCACAAGTGCTTTACTGCTGCTTCTTTTGAGCAGCGGGGCCCATGTCCTTCTCAAAAGCGCCATAGGAGACCTCGAGACTAGCCAGAGCCCGCAGACCAACGCCAAGCAGGGAGAACAGCACAATGGCAGCGATGATTCCCATGAAGATACCTACAATTAATTAGTATGGAGTCAAGCATGCGCAGATTATAACGAGGAAGCTTACCAGGAGTAAAGAACTGGTACTTCTCAAATAGACCACGGGTATCGCGTGTGGCGTTGCCAGGCTTCTCCGCATTGCCTGAGACATCGCGCTTCAAGTCCATATGCAGAGGCTCGATGAATTCCGGCTCGTAGATGGTCTTCTCGGACTTGGATGCGGCCGTCTTCGCCTTGGTGGATGGCGTGCCAACGAAAAGGACAGTGTATGAATCGTTCAACCCTTGCTCACTCTCCTCCCACTGCTTGGTAGCGTCTGTGATATGGTTAAAATTTGAACTCAAAGCCAGTTTCATCATATAACTGACCTTCCTCGTTCGTCGAAGCCTTGATTAGGGCGAAGTGAGGCTTCACCTTCTTTGCCTGCTCGTAACACGCCCTCTTAATGTAGTCCTGGATCGCAGCCGCATCGATGGACTCGCCAACAACCTCAGGGACAATAAACTTGCCCTGGATTTCCTTGCGGCCAATAGCATGGTGAAGATTGGACATGGAGTTCGGTCGTCGAAGATCAGCGGCATTGACACCCTCATGAGCGATCAGGATGTAATTATCGGTCGGACATGAAGTCAAGAGGTCCTGAACTTGCTCGAGAGCTTGGGATCGCGTCTGGATGTGGTTGTTGCTGGGTGCATCGGAGAACCTTGGTCGTCATCGTTAGTAGGGAGCTCCAAGTATAGATAGGACACGAAGGCGCGCGTCATACTTGGAGGTAGAAAACATAACCAATGGCCATGAGTCTGAGAAAGCGGCGGCGGAACCGCTGAGCGCAAGAGCGCTGGCAAGAATCTGAAGACGCATCACGGATGATATTTGCTGGTTATTGGGCGTTGTGTCTGCCTATCGATTCCAGCTTGTGATGATAATGCTAGCATTGAGAGAGCTGATGCAGGAGCAGCGATCTTACGTAACCATCCTGGTACATGCAAAGCCCCGTTGCATGCACACCTCGGTGAGTGCTGGATCCATTCCGTTGTGGAGCTACCCTGGGAAAGTTTCGCGACAGTGGATTTTTCGATGTTCAAGATACTACCTATTCTTGCTATAGTGGCCAACAAAATAGTTTACTCGATACATTCTCGATTTTCCATTTGCATTTCACGACTACCGTGCATGTAAGCAACCATGTTCGCCAAACCAAGACCCAAAAAGAGCATTCTGCCGCCGCCATCTAAGAAGCGAAAGATGACCTCTGCTGTCGAGGAGGTTAACTTCGACTTCGAGGCGCGGCAGGAATATTTGACTGGTTTCCATAAGCGCAAGCAGCAGCGTATCAAGAATGCTCAAGAAGAGGCTGCCAAGAGGGCTCGTCAGGAGAAGCTAGAGTTGCGAAAACAGGTACGCCCAAATTTTCAAGCGAGATTACCACTGTCACTTTCGAATAGTACTAAATTATTCTACTAGATACGAGAAGAACGAAAGCGCGATGTCGAAGAGCACGTCCAGACCGTAAACAGATTGTTGCAGGAGTCGGAAGCTGCTGGGGCGGTTGAGCAGGAATCTGACGAGGAAGACGGAGAGTGGGACGGTTTTCCTGATCAGCCAGAGCTGGATATTGTTGACCACGAAGAGGAATACATCGACGAAGATCGTTATACCACTGTCACGGTCGAGTCTGTGTCGGTGACAAGAGATGGATTGCACAAGCCCCAAGTCGACGACAAGGACAATAAGGAGGATAAAAAGGTTGAAGAACCCAAGGACGATCAAAAAGCAAAGTCACGACGGGAACCCAAAAAGAAGAAGAAGAAGTTCCGATACGAGACCAAGTTCGAGAGGCAGTTGACGGATAAGAAGCAGAGAATCAAGAAGGCAAAGAGGAGGGCATGATAAAGTACGATGGAGCTCAATGGATTTGGACAACATAGAAGGATGTAAGAAGCGCACCATTTACAAAAAGATACCCTTTGAGAAAAGCCAGCTTCAATCAGCTAGTAGTAGAAACGTAACATGACATGCGGCAACTGCTCCATTCGCTCATCTGGCCAACACCTGGAAATACCTGCAACCAAGGCATCATACAACTGGACGAGTATACTGATGTCTGCGGACATGCTAACGAACATGGATTCTGCATCCGGCGCGAGTGCTTTAAGGGTTGGGGATAAATTAGATGTTGCCAATCTCGGCCTGGAGCTCCTCCAGCTCCTTCTGAAGAGCGTTGTACTTCTGCGACATCTCCTCGTACTTGGACTCCCACTGATCACGCTCGTTCTCAAGGGCTTGCACCTTTCGCTCGAAGTGTCCGGCCTTGACGTCGGTCTGTCGGAGCCTAGAGAATCTCTCTGTTAGCAGTTGTATCATTTGTGGTGTTTAAAATTGATGGTTGTGGAAATGGCGGTAAGGGGGCTTGCTAGGGGGTTCAACGTACTTCTCGTTGGCCTCACGGAGCGTCTTGTCGGCATCCTCGGCCTCCTCCTCGAGAAGTTGCAGCCTTCGCTGAAGAGTTTCGTTCTGAGTGCCGTGTTGCTGGCCCTCATCGGCGGCCTTCTTGAAATCCTTTACGGCGTTCTCAAGCTTCTCGACCTCGCCCTCGAGGAGGTTGTTCTTGTGCTGGAGGGAGGTGATTTCCTGCTCCTTTGACAGGTTCTCTTGCTCGAGAACCTTGACCTTGCTCTGGAGCTCCTCAACCTTGCCACTGGCCTCGTCGGCCTCCAGACGGAGCTGGTTCATTTTCTATCCACCATCGCCATATTAGCATGGGTCGACCGACGATAGTTTACCCCTCCACAACGGTTCCTTTAGGTTGCCATGGCGGGGTAGCAAGGAACTTTTTGGACAACTAACCTCCTTGATGCGATCCATTTTGATAAGCGGCGAAAGGGTTGTTTAGGTTGAAGAAAAGGCTGAAGGGAAACCGGCGATGAAGACAGAGGTCGTGTTGTTCGGATGTAAGATGAAGCGGTTAAGTACCTATCAAGAAAGGGGAGGAGTGATGCCCCTCCACAGCTGCCCCGGTGGAGGCCGCGTCTGAGTATAGCCCCATTGGCTTGTGGCGGTCGTTGAGGTGTGGCGCTCACATGCCGGCACTTTCCACTGTAAACTCAAGGAACATGCTCCCAAAGATAGCGGTTGCCCCGCCAGCCAGCACAGACCGACCAAAACATCCCGGCCGCGAAGGTCCTGGCAGATGAGCAAATGACCCTTTCATCTTCCAACCGTAATTACCTCTTTTGATTAATGAATCCAATGACGGGATCAACATCTGCCTAATTCTATCCCGGCGACAAGACAAAGATACACTGAATCCTTGATTCGCTCGTAGTAGCCATCATGTTGGCGGCGCATCGCGACCAAGAGAATCTGGTCGTTAGCCAGCAAGTTCCGACCAAACAGCAACACAATGCACGATTTCCAAAAACCCCATCTCGATTTCCTCAGCATGACGAGAATGCTCCCACAGCCTTTACTGGCAAGACCGGGCTCGGTGGAGTGAAGACGCTGAACAAAGGCAATGGAACACGACAGGCCATAGTCACCCCAATGGGTACGCATGATTCTTACCAGGACAAAGAACAATATGCTAATCGGAGATGTGTTCTTAGGTACCCAGAATCGAGCTCCTCTGGGCAACAAGACCACCAATGCCAAGGCTAAGAACGGGCAGCTTGGTGGTGTTAAGAACATCATCCAGGGTATTGAGCAAACACAGCTCAAACCAACGGCACAGAAGCCCAAGCAGCGACCAGTGGATCTTGCACCTCTCGAGATTCGACTCAAGGAAGGACAGAAGCCCATCGAGCCACAAGAAGAAGAACCGGAATATGCCCCGCCGAAGCCCAAGGATCTCCCATATGAATCGGACTGCTTCCCCAAGGATATGCTGACCCTCGAGGGCTTGAAGAAAGAAAATATTATGAAGGGATACTATCAATACTTCTACAACCCAATCGATGATGATGGTGTTTCTAGACAAGACCGGGAGTTTGCAGAGACAATGAAGAAGGTTGCTGCCAAGGCGGAGGAGAGAAATAAGCAAGAGAGGGCTGCTTTAACCTTCAACATTGACGATCTTTCGGACACCGAAGTGCAGATCAAGGCACCAGCACCAAAGGCTACTATTGCGGGCTCGGAACGGAAGGTCAAGGGCATCCGAACCAAGCAGCCTTCGAGTCTGGCATCAAGGCGCGCTGCATCTGCTTTGTCAATCCACTCAGACGCCAGTAGCAACAGTAAGGCTTCGAGTGTGGCACGAACAACAAAGATTCGAAAGCCTCTCAGCTCTTTGTATCAGAGCAAGAAGCCTGTCGTCAGAAGTGTGGTGCCTGCCAGGACATCGACTGCAGAGAGTGCTACTGGCGTTGCTGCATCACGAACCACTATCGGCTACAATCGAGGTAGGTCAGCATCTTCTATGGTCAACGCTCAACGTCGCGGGCCTACGGCACCTGTTGGAACACAGCGTGCTGTCAAGCCTGTCGAGACAGTCAATTCTCTTCAATCTGATCTTACTATAACCCCAGCTCGCCTCCGTCAAGCGGTAAAGCAGCAGCAGGAAGCCAAGCCGAGACCTCAATTCATGTCTATCTTCGATGAAGATGGAGATGATGATGATCTCCCACCTCTGAGCCAACCGCTTGGCATCTCTGACGATGAAGAGGAGGAGTTTGAGCTGAAGTTGAACTTCTAAGCCCTCATTTTGTACTGTAAAAATATTCGGCGTTTGGAAGAAGCTTGTCGTGATATTGATATGGGCGACGAGACGGAGTTTGAAAGATTCTGGCTTGAGAGGTCACTATGACTATGCTTTTTTTTAATTCTATGTCTGTATGCCAGATGGCTCAAGTCGAAATATTAGCTGCACCTGGCAAATATTGACATGAATAAATTTGTTAACAATGACTTGACCTGACTTTGTATTTTGATATGATTTTCAATGGGTACGTTTTCACTAGGTACTGTATAGAGTCTATGTTGGCATGCATGTGGAATGGTACAGGTTAGGTCTACCCCAAATATTGTCTCGTACCTCAGAGACTTGGCAAATTGCATCTTAAATGTCACTGTATTGATGCTATTTGCGGTATTGCTCTTTATTTGGATTGATACAGATATATCATCTTGCCTTTGTTTACCGAGAATAATATCTCTCAGCTTTGTTTTTCGAACAGATGAAATCCTTGGACAAAGAAGGCGCTTTCATGCATGATGACATATCCCTTGTTTCCAAATAAGGCACCTTTTCAAACGAATGGTTTAAACAACGGTGAACAAGGTACGAATATTTAAGAAGAGGCACTGCATTGGTTATGAAAAACGGGCACTGAAGCCCAATGCCAAAACACGAGGGAGTTTGCAGCGAAATAACAGACAAACCGATTCAGACGTCCACTGACGCGGTGCCAGTCTCAGTCCAATACTTGAAGTCTTGTGGGACGCGTTAATTGGCAACCAAACAAATACCCACCCACCAACCGACCAACCGCGTATCAACCCAAACATAACATCCAATCAAAAGCTACAAGAAACCTCCAAGCCACTCAAACTGTGGCTGGGCGATCCTCTCATTTGACCTAGACCTTACCGCTAGAAGTAACTCTACTCATCCCTGAACCAAAAGTCAAAGCAGACTGAAGCGAACGTCAACTTCCTTGGTCGTCAGCCATTTTTTTCTCATTCTCCCACCAATTTCCCCCCTCGTTTCTCTCGACACTCTGGACATTGCTATCCATCATCGCGCCCGCCTTTGTCGCGCGCATCATCCATTTGATTCAGTCTGCTTGTTCACGCTCTGACGACTTTTTCTACTCCTTTACTGCTCGTGGAGTCGGTCGGTGACGCCGCTCCGCCACATTCAACCTCAGCATCCCTCGGTCGCGTGAAGCATTTCTCTCACCCTCAATCTCTTCAATTTCATCGCTACCTCGTTCAAAACAACCCTTCTGGAATCGCCGCAGGACAAATATTATCCAACCGTTAGGTGTACACTCAACGCTTCAGTTTAAGGATATCATGGTAAGAGCACGGGGGAAGAAGTAGGAAGAGCGCATCGTCACGATGACTCGCCCACCAGGCGCGAGCTTCGCGCAATTCTTCCCCACAGCTCCAAAGGTAAAAGCACAGTCCCAGACTCGTCCAGACCTCAGTAGAGATCGCGAACAATCCAAACCTGGGTCGACACCGGCCTCCCTGACCGGCGCTTGCGACCCTACACCAACATCAGCTGCGTCAGACGCAGCCGCGAATGCTGGCCAAAACGGCACTGTTTCATCGTCGGATACTATGCCCGCACAGCCCGAAGACACAGAATCACCATTCACAGACATTCCCAGCACTGTCGACTCGGCCAGCTCATACAGTAGCACGGCCTCATCAATATTTAGCACAACCGCCCGCCACGGTGCCGCGGCAACTTCAGCTTCGTCCCGTATTCCCACCTCGAGCCTTACTCCCATCGCTTCCAAAGATTCTCCCAACTCATTGGCTTCGGCCACCACAAAGCCAGACATGTCTACATGTCTGACCGCCGATCGGGCCGCGAGACAGTCCTCCCGAAACTCACCCGCCGTTGGTTTTAATGGCTCGATATCAGACGGACTCCTTTCCAATGAGCGCATTCCGGCTCGAGATCCTATGCCCTCCGTCAAGGGCCTCAAGTGCACCTATGATCCGCTCCTCGATCGAGTACATAATAAGAGCGTCAGCAAGAGCGCGAAGCCGACATACAAGGAGTTCGGTCGAGTACGTATAACTATAAATTTCCCTCCTTAGGGGGGGCGTCATCTTTGGTGAAAGACTCATGGCTAATGAAAATGATTAGGACGATGACGCCCCCCCTAAAGACCCTCGACTGGTCAAGTCGGACGGTCGCCTCGGTTATATCAACACCGATTACTACCTCCCTAAATCGCGTTTGCGAACAGCACCCGAGAACATCAAGCCCTATCCCTATGATTCCAAGACCTCGATTGGTCCTGGCCCACCCACGCAGATTGTAGTGACGAGGTATAATCCGCTTGTTCCTTTTAGCAAAGTAACAGCCATTTTTGCTACCTTCGGTGAAATTGCCGAGAGCAGCAACAAGATGCACCCAGAAACAGGTAGCTATCTTGGATTTGCGACAATTCGATACCGAGACTCTAAGCGACCCGACCGACCTCCCGTTTCTGCTATGGAGGCAGCTCGCCGAGCTGTACGGACTCGAGGCATCAAGGTTGACGCCGATATAGTCCGTGTAGAGTACGATGCAGAAGGACGCAGAAGCCGACGTATGCTGGAAGAGCACCTCAAGAGGGAGAAGGAAAAGTTTGAGAAGAAGGAACAAGAGCGACTTGCTCTTGCAGCCAAAGCTCCTCCGACTGGTCCCAAATCTGGAACTGCTCCTGTCTTTACTAGACCTCCCCCAACCGCTCCTAAGGGTCCCTCAGCACAGCGACAACCTGTAGTCCCGAGCGCACCACAACTTTCTCTAACCCCCTCGCAACAAAAAGGCCTCAATCTCGAAACTTCAAACCTTACCCAAAAACTCGCGGACGATCCATATATTTACGTTACAGGCGATAGTGTCCCAGTACTACCAAGTATTCTTCCACACATGAAGAAACGACTCAAGAATTACGGATTTGAAGAAATCCGAGTCGACAAGTCGGGCTATTTCATCGTGTTCCGCAACTCGTTCACCGGGAAGTCAGAAGCTGAACGATGTTTTCGCGCTGTTAATCACACCGAATTTTTCAATTATGACATGACTATGCAATTATGCTTACCTCGTCCCCATCGAGATGGCCCCTCGAGTCACCGACGATCCAGTGCAAGTCCAGAGCGAAAAACAAATACCGAGCCACGATATCGCGACGAGAAGGAAA